TCGACTCCTCCCAGCCGACGTGGAACAACCTAGTCTCAATCTCTGTGCACATGTGGAATCTCAGATCTCCTTTGCCCATCGGTGCCTGGCCTCGAGCACCCTCTCACCGACTCAGGGACCCGGACCTCCCCGGTCAGCGCCACAACAGCCACGTGCCGAGTCTCTGCAGTCACCACCATGGCCATGCGAGTCCGCGCTTCTTGTTCACTTACAAGTAGTTGAGCCAAATCGTTGATTTGGTTCATTCGCGACTGGGCTGGGTGTGTCAAGGAATCTCTGAAGCTTGAGAGTGGGTTGATGCACGGCGCAGATGTCTTGATGCACAAGTCTACGGCAGCCTGTGCTGATGTCTGGCACCGCCTGTTTCCTTGAGGACGCTTGGTTTGATTCGGTTGGACCTTTCAGGGAGCCATTGGCTGCGATATGGGTCGGCAACTGACAGTGGGTGCTCGTTTATGAAGTCGTTCGGAACCTAGAAAAAGCCTAGCGCTGGATCAGAAATCCTCAAAGCTGTCCCTGACACCAACAGCCATCCACATCTGCACCCCTATTCTACAGCATAGCATCGCATGGCGGGGGATGTTCGGATGCCTCTGCCTCCGGTAAAGTTTGGTTGGAGGTGCAGTGCAATCCAAAAGTAGGGACAAATTCCGTGTACAAAACGATGAGCATTGAGCAGACGGGTTGCTTCAGTATCATCAGTATCAGTTCATTGGCACTCTAAGTAACTTACAATCCTTTGACGATGTTTTGCAGTACTTACGGCTCCTGTAGCTGGAACGTCATCAAATGCGTGCAGGGCTCGACTTGCATGCAACAACCATGTTGCCTCCCTTACACAACAACGAACGAATGTCGACTCTGAACACGGTCCAAAATCCAACTGTCTGCTCTCGCCGTAGAACCCCTGGGCCACCCACCAATGCCTCACGGGTTTGAGCAAGCCATCGTGCGATATGTATGCACATATGTTATATGTATGCATGTGAGCATGTGTGCATGTCTGCTCGCCTGTATGTCTGCATGCGTGCATCTCTGTCTCTGTCTATTCGGCTCTCTCCCTGCCTGCCTGCCTCTGTCTGTCTGCCTGCCTGTCTGTCTGTGCGTCCGTCCGTCCGTCTCTCTATCGCTCTCTCTCTTTCACAGGCACTGATAGGGGCGAGCCGGAGCGAGCCCCTGCGTGGAGGCACGCCTTTGGTTGGCTGTCTGCTTGGCTTCTGTGTGTCCGTCTCTGTCCTTGCGTATGAGTATGTGGGTAGGTATGTGTCTGTTGTCTGTACGTGCGCATGTACGCAACACACACATCCGAACGCAGACACGCACGCCGTCACATGCGCATACCTTTAGATACATCAGACGTCCATGCATCCATAGATCAATGCATGCATATAGCAACGCAACACTGCAAAGCAGTGCGGAGCAGACCAGAACAGAACACATACATATGTGTATATAAAAACATATATATATATATATGTACATGTGTATATATATACACATCAATATTACAGTCAGTGTGCAATGAGGATGTCGTGTAGGCTCAAAAGAAACGGACTGCAACAGATTCGACTGCTATCATCGCGAGGCCTTCTGCACTCGAGTTGGTTTGCTTGGCTGAGATTCGAGGTTACTGTAAGCTTCTGCGCCGTTGTACACTACCCGCCCAGCTATGCGTTTTGCACAGCTTCGAGTACAACGCCAGGGTCTGTGCAGCCTAGGGCCTAGAGTTCCTCGAATTTCCTCGACAGCATCGCCTGGTTGGGGATAAGCTTGATTACCAGCCCCAGTGCTGCTGCGGTGTTCATCCACCTGGCGCTGCAAGCGAGTGCCACAAGTCGGTGGTGGGCAAGATTTACCTACTTATAATAATCATCCCACGTGAAAGTGTCTTGATCCCAATCCATGTCTGGGTCAAGACCAAGCATCAAGCTGCAGTAAAGACGATGTGTGATGTGCTTGGGGCAGCTCACACACACTGCTGTCGCAATTGAATGTCTGTCCGTCAGTCCCACACCTTATCCTTATCATATCTCTTCCGAAAGCTTCCTCCTTCAGGCTCTCGAGGCTCTCACACCCGAAAAAATGAACCCCATCTACACGATCATACCTGCAGCCCACTCAAACCATTTTGCTAGACACCCTTGTTTGCTCAAATAGAACATGTTCCTAGAGCCATGGTACGTGACTCGCGCTAAAGCCAGTTTTTGTGATTGAGCCAGGCAGGGCCACCAGAGGTCCGGCAACGGCACGAGTTGACGATCGGCTCCTGATGACACGGTGACACTGTCATGAGGTTTATGCGGAACGCGTGTGGGCTCCGTGACGCTAGCCAATGTCCACGATTTGATTCGATAATAGGATACATTCTTGGATGTGGTGATGCTGCCATACTGCCATCATCCCTGGAGCCCTACCAAGTCGACTGTACTTTCTTCGGAAAGCCTGCGTCGCTAAACAAATCCTGGCCACGGGGATCGGATTAACTAAGACCTCAGTGGCCGCAGCCGTCCTATGTTTCGAACAGCAGAGGGCTGCGCAGCTGTGCCGAAGAGGTAGTACCTGCTCCAAGGCCGCACATAATGCCCGTGCCAGGCTGCTGGTACTTTACATCTGCGCGTGTCTTCGAACCACCTCCGACATTGCGGCAATGGCACTCGACTCTTGATTCTGTGCTCTGCTACAAGTACAAGCCGGCAGCACCCAGGCACTGCGATGCCCAAGTAGACTACGCACGCAGAAGCATAGGCCTGGCTCTGCTGGGCTGGGGACTGTGACCACCACACTTGTTCGGTACAGAGACTGGAGAGCTGTCACATGGCAGGTAAGGTGTCCGGTTCTGGCATGCGGATTTCTATCAGAGTATGAAATCGGCGACTAGGTACATTCATAGAGACATCAGCGCGCCACCAAACTCGACGTCTGCGACTGTTGGTTCGTCCAAAGACTCAGAAGGTTTCCCTGATGGTCAAAGTCTCCCAAGTCTTGTCTGACTGTCAGTGAACCCGGATCCAAACTCAAGAGCAGGCTTCAAGAAAGCAGGAGGTGCCCATTTGATGCAACTGGTAAACTTCTGCGGTTCCTCGCAAAGATTGCACCAGACAGCGGACCTAAGGTCCGATGCCTTTGCTTGTGGCTACGCAGACACAGAGCGCCCAGCCAGAGGCCCTGGCCATGCCCGGCAGTCTCGAGATGAAAAAAACTTGCACTTGCAAGGGAAATCCCCAGAAGCGCGAACTCTCAGAAGAAACTCCGCCGCGTCCTCCATTTGCTGGATGATCCGGGGGTAGAAAGAGTGTCCTGGCAAGAAGCTTTTGACTGAGCCGAATGGCCTCTGCGGCACAAATTGTGCAGGGCATCTTGCCCCAGTCTGGACGCATTCACCTCATTCAACTCCTTCTCGTGGTGTCATGTTGTCTGCGTGCTCTGACACCGGAGACATGTCAAGATTCGCGAAAAGCATTGTCAGGTCAGCAACTGAGCGCATGTGCTCTGTGCGTACGTGTGCACGTACGTGAGCGTGAAGGGCCCGGCCATCCTGCAGGGCTGAAGATCAGGATTCCAGCAGCTGCAAGCAGGCCGCGCCTCGGCTGGGGCCGGGAGCATTCAAAGAAGGGAAGAGGAGAAGAAGAGAAGAACAGGGCCGGCAGCGAAGTGCAGGCGTAAGTCAAAGGAGCAAAGGAGCTCTAAGGGTCTCAAACGCATCTGACGCCGACCTGACGCCAAGCGTTTCTACTGCTGAGAAGCTTAGTATTTTAACAGATCCTCCGGACAGGCGCTATCCCGCAGCTGCCAGTATGTATCGTGGTCTTCTTCGCCTCAGGCTGTAGACTCCAGTAACTCTCGTAGTACGTACTCCAGAACTTTCTCTGGTGGCGATGATGCAAGGATTCGCGACTGAAGTACCAAATCCCGCGAGTTGCTGCCCACAAGAATAATAGTTCGAACGACTGACACAATCCATTCGTCCTCCCGTTTTCTCGAGCAATCCCTGAGGGCGCTGCGGTCGCACCACCTCGAGCTCCGTAGGCGGTGCCTCCACCACGGGTTTGGGGTTTGGGGAACGACTCTCCGAGGATCCATCCTTGCGTCTCAGATTCTCGCTGCCCCTTCCCTGAAATTGGCACTGTTGTGAGGGGGCCTTCTGCGGCAGCATGAGCCCGGTCACAATGAACCTCAGACACGCCAGGAAAGCGGCGGCCAGCAGGAAAATGGGAGTTCTACCTAACGGTCAACGGTCAGCACATCATCTGATTACTTGTTGCCGTCGGACCTTGAAGGCTTCAAGACTGACTGAATTCACTGGCTTAACGCATGCGATTTGTCACGTGGCACACCAGAATGTCTAACTGATCGATTTCCCTTCGGATTCTGAGATGCCCGGCATCAAAGCGCTGGCGATGAACACGAGATTCGACATCACCTCAAGTTCATCACAGCACAAAAACAGACAAACAGTGGCCCGAGACTCGGCAAATAGGACTGCTTTGTGTTCTGTCAATGAATGAATGCTTCTTGTATCCGAATCCTGCCGCGATTTGTGCGGGCAAACTATGCCAATTGACTTGGCGGGTCTTGTGAGCACTGTCAAACTTCAGATCTGCTCCGGCTGTCTCTGCTCATGTCGAGCTGTCGCTCCGATGTGATCTCGTCAACACCCAGGTGTTTGTGAACTACACTTGCGGCCCCTTCCAGAAACGACGATCGCCCTCAAGCATGGGAGCCTCTACATCCTCTACCTTTCAGCGCTGCCAATGGACAAAGACCATGTCAGTTCAACCCGCAAAGAAATCCCAGGAAAATTCAACATGGTGGCTCTTTCAATCGATTGCCCAAGCACTGCTTCTCGGGCAAACTACCACAGGTCTCATGCTGAGTAGTGAGTAGGTGCACCGTCTTTGCGATCTGCACCTTCCAAGAACCAACTCCGGCTTTGGACCAGGGCAGCTCGCGGCCAAATCAAGAGCCCGACTTGCTCTCAGGGGTGAATCTGCTTTCCTTTCTCAGCAGGACCATCCCTCCTTCGCAGGAACACATCCAAGGCAGACTCAGCAACTCTCAAGATCCACTGAATGTTAACAGCCTCAGGCTGAAGGTCTCAGATGTTGGGTGGGAGTAAATGGCACTCGGTCTTCGGATACAAAGCTTGTGCAACCAGTACATGACCCCCATGCATCAGTGTCACGCTCTTGGTTGTCGTCGTAGCGGACATGGGAATTCAATGGCCTCTTCTTTGCTGCGCCGATATGCGAAGGAGGGGTGCGGCGGAGGACGTTGGGCAGCTACGCAGCGCAGCTTCGTTTTCGATGAGCACTTCACCGACACTCTCCGAGACACAGCACAAAGAAGCCCTTCAGGGAGTCCTGGAAGGGTCGGATATCCACCTCGTTGGACCATCCTAGCGGCGATTGCTGCGCCAGAGCAAAGTATGTCTCCGCAATGTCGTCCGTGCAGCCCATCCTGCTCCGCGAGTTGCACTGTTGCACTTTGCAAATGATTTGTGATAGTCAGTCGCCTTAAGCCCGCAACCTAAGCACGTCTTCTGGAGATGCTTCTCAATCGGCTGCTACCGACGGCCCTGGCAGTCTTGTGTGCTGCGTACATCTCCGGCATCTTCTTCTGATATCCAGGGGTATCCAACACACAATCCTCGGCTCATGTTTGCTGGCCGTTCTGCAGACAAACCTCCCCTGCATACCTTCGACTGCTGGAATTGGAAAACGTGTTAGCTGGGGAGTTCGAATCTGAAGTTCACTCACGCGGTTTTGAGCTCAGGTGGAGCCGTGTAGAGCAGGGCTCGGCTCGAGCCAAGGTTGCTGCCACGGCTCCAAGCGGACATGTACGGCGTGAATTCCCTGCTTGCCATACCTGAGACTGTCCGAGGTGCCAGCTTCACTTGAGGATAGAATAGCCGTGCTTCGTTTTACTGTAGCAACTGGGGGCAAGGTATAGAGTCACAGGCACGTCTTGACGGTGGTTCCGGAGTGCCAATGCAGTGAGTCACCAAACGGCAGAGCGAATATTGACCCGTGGTATCTTCGGGGCTGCAGGGTTCATTACCTTCGCGTTGATTTGTCAGACCCGCCTTAGGGAACAATGGTCTGAGGAGCCGATTGCAGAAGGGAGGTGAGAAGCTGAGAAGATCATGCTTCCCCACCCTCCCAGCCTTGTGAAACTACGTCATGACACAGCCTGTACCAAGACAGCCAACCCAAGAAGCTATGCCTACCATGCCAAGTCACTCCTTTGCAATGGATTGCGATAAGGCCCTGAAGCAGGGCTGCAATGACATTTGAGTCTCGGAAATCTGTGCAGCCGACTCTATCTATTGGCGGCTTCCTGTCATGTCACTCACACATCCCGGCACACTACGTGCAAGCCCGAGAGAAATGAGTCTGCTTAGCAGAAAGATCGGGAGCCCGAAAGCGTGCCGCGACTAACACCACGATCACATGCTTGCCCTTCACAACTGTGCTGTCCCTCGCCTGGCCTTAGAGCGTGCTTGCCGCATGCGAACTGCGCCGTGCCGCTACCACCCCTGAAGGCCGATGTGGCAGACGAGAAGATCAGCCTCAGAATGCAACTACTGTGAGGCACCAGGCTGCAAGATCAATCGGCCGATCATTGCATGCGCATGTCTCATGCATGCTTACTGAGTTCTAAAAGGTCTTCGGACATGCAGATGCATGGCCTTGCTACCTAGCTGCGTACCACGCTTCTTCACGGCGAATTCTCCGCCGCCCTCTCGCGCGAGCATCCCTGGAATCACTGCCTGCATGCATCGGATGACCCTCTTGGACATAACAGTGTAGACCACCCCTAAAAATTCAACTTCCGTACTGACGACCCCAAATCCCGATGCCTCACTCCTCCACCACGATTATGCATTCCATGTGGTTAAGAGCCTGGGAGCAGAGAAGCGCGCCAACGCAGGAGGCGTCGAAAGACTTCTTGAAGGTCTCCTTGCAGCCCAAGCCGTGGACTGGTGCATACCGGGCCCAGGATCCAAGAGTGAAGAGGCAGAACTTCCCCGACCGTCAAGCCATTGCAGCCCCAGCCCCTGTCAGGATCGATGTCCATGATCGAGATGCCGAATCCGCCCCCGCCGCAGTTGTACACCTCTGCCACTATCTCTGAAAGACTTCGCAGGCACATGGTTGCGGAATGTTGCGGACAACAGAAGTGCCAATCCCGACACTCGCAAGCACACCTAACTCTAGCAGTAGCTGCAGTAACCGCCAAGCCAATGGGCCAAGCCGAGTTGCCAGCACGTCCACAGGGCCCTGCAAGGCTTTGGCGGCTTCTCCAAAAGCCGAGGCGATGGAGGCCTCGGCGGAGTCGCTAAACGAAGCTTCTTCTTCGGCGGCTTCGGCTCTGTCCAAGCTGAAGTCGGCGCCCCGGCCTTGTCAGTGGCGTCCATCTCGAAGAAGGCGTAGTTGGCTCCCATCTCCTGTGGAGCTCAGAAATCAAAACAACTCGGGATTCAGCACTGCCGAGTCGGAGCTTGCAACATCCGAGAATCTGAAAACGAAGATAACGAAGAGAAGTGAAGGCGGTGGGCATGCTCGCGAAGGCTTTGCATGTCTGCCCTGGCTTGCCTTCAACTTTGCAGCCGTCGGCTCAAAGCTGGAAGCCGTTCGGCACATGGCTGCGATCTTGTAGCCCTCCTGCAGGTGACTACTTACCCAAAGCTCCACCAAGGCTCCACCCTTGAAGCAGACTGCTTGGAGTTGACCTGCCCGGTTCGACCCTGAATTAGGTCCGACGGCCCTCTCAAGCCTGAGCCTCAAAGAAGAATCTCGCGCTGCACAACCCAAGGTCGCCGTGCACATAACAGATTCCCACCTTTGCGAACTTGACCGCAGCACTGCCTTCGTCACACTGACAGTGCACACATTTTATTATTTTATTGGAATAGGGTGGGTGTGAGGGCAGCGTGCTGGTCGTGGAATGGACAGAGAGGGACGGGGCACATGCAGGGTTTGGAGTCGCCACGTGTTCCATGCTTTGCTGGTGCAGGGATTGGTTGATTTCATGAGCCTGCCATTGCTACTCAATCTGGATGGACGACTGTCCTGAACACCTGTGTATGCTTAAGTCTTCTCTAAAGGAAACACACCGACGTCGAAGTCGTGGACGAAGCAGTTAGGTTCTGAATTCCCCAGATCGGAGTTGCCCGCCCCCCAAAAGCCAAAAGGTGCAAACATCTTCATACTTTTGATCGTCCCGCAGACACTGACAGTGACATCGGCTAATGCCACTGTTCTTTGGTTCCCGGCGGCCTCCCATACCAGGCCCGCAGCCCACGACCGCACAAACACCCCTCGAAGCCATGGCCAGGGTTTGTTGGGAAATGCCCCGACCGATCAAGATCGAAGACAAAGACCTGCCTAAAAAAGCGAAAGGTCTTGCCGGTCCGATTCTGATAGATTCTGATGGATGCCAGACAGCCATAAATGCTACCGGCTCTCTGGGCTCAGGAGTTCTACCAGCAGGGTCGTTCGGCGTTCGATGGTGTTTGAACAGCGTCGCGACGCACCAGAAAGCAAAGCCGGGTCTGAGCCAAGACCGGCGGACAAGGCAACGGCTTGGAAGTTCGATGTGAATCCTTTGGTGCCTCGTGCTCCTCCGGCATTGAATCCTACAAAAACTAGATATGCATATGTATGTGTCTAAGCATGTCTAGATATGTATATGTATGTATATATATATACACACATACACGTGTAATTATGCTGTTTTGCTCTTGAATGGGAGTCGATGCATGCCCTTGTAGCAAGGGTGCTACAGCAAAGACTTGGCACCGAGGGGGAGGCGTTGATCTTTGTGAGGACTTTGGCAGGGACCTCAAGGGCCGAGCCGCGAAATCTGGGGGACTAAACATATTGGGGAAAAAGTATTTTTTTGGAAAAATATCCCCAATATGTTTAGGTCTCCGATGCAAAGCCGCAAAGTGGGGGACGGGTGCGACTCGCGACCTTCACTTCAGAGCGGGCGTCTACGGTCTTCACAAGATTCTCTGCGAAGCTCTGTTCAGCTCGAAAAGCTCGCGAGAAGGCAGACTGGGCATCGGGCAAAAGTCAGTGCATAAGCACCGCAGACAGCCACTGCTACCTTACGCGCGGACAGTTGTTGTGCTGGCCGCAATCTCGACAACTTCAATGCCTCTTAATTATTGAGGTCAATGCATACGTTTGTCTGTTCGACGCTCTTCAATGAGCTCCTACCGGCAATTCCAACATCATCAAGAAGACCCGAGACATTCCGACACACCAAATCTCACCCAGCCATGACAGTCGTGGCAACAAAAACTTGCGTGAGCTGCTGTCAACTACGAAGCTTGAATGCTGCATCTCTACTGCGATGACAGGGACATGCATGTTCACACCGTTCGGACTTCAAAAACATGGAGCTCCCCAAGCCACAAGCATCCTGGTTCAAACAAAGGCACTGCTGGGGCAGCCGAGACATCGAGCAGCTGCGCAACATTCATCGAAGCACAGACCTCTTGGCAAGAATGTGTGTCTCTGTGTGTGTGTTGCCATCCTAAACCTCAGCTTCATCGGCCGGTGCATACAGGGCTGAGGGCTCGACAATTATGTTTGCTTATGGAGAAAAGCCTTGTTCATAGGTCCGAAGTCTGCATACAGTCAGCCACAAGTGCACTACATTGATTTCGACATTTTGTGGCAGCCCCGATTGGAGACACTGACCAAACAGGCCAGGATCTCCAACTGAGAACCTTTTGGCATAGTGCTTTCCCCCACCACGGAGCCACTAATCCGCTAATCGTACACACACGGTCGAGAAATCGAAGGCACCCTTGAGTGCTGTAGCTGTGCTCCATCCGTGCTGGATCTGCTGGTGCCGGGCCCCTGGCGGCCGTGCTCAGCAGGTATCCTGGGACGTGCCACATTTTCTGGTGTTGATCTTGCAGATGCCTTTCATTGCCAAACCCCTACTTACGCCGCGTCTGACGGGCAAAGGCGGCCACTTTGTGTGCCAATGACATGCCTTGTTGCAGACAGCCGTGTCTGAACCCCTCGAATCATGCCACAATCCGAGGCTCACAATCGATCGGCAGACTTTACTCAGTCACAGCGCTGTCTCAGAACTGGCCAGTTTGCAATGTCCGCGTTGTCCTGACGCATCGACGTGCGAAATGAATCCCGAAGCCATCTAGAAGCCCATCCGTACGCCAGACTCCCGAGGTGCAGCCAAAGCGCCCCAAAGTTCGACGATAAGGAAAACTTCCACAGCTTTTCGGGCCTCGGCATGGCAATGCCAATTACAATCTTGTCACCTTTCGGAGATCGTCGTCTGGTTTGGAGGTTTAGAGTGGCCGTCCGACGCGCTGAAAGATGGCACAACAAGCCCAGTCCTCCTCAAGTGCATAATTAAAATCGCCCGGAAACGCAGAAACTGCACACGAAGCAAGGGCTCTTCCCTTAGAAATACTTGTTGCGTCAAGTCCACCGACTCACCAGCCGCTGAATAAGATCCTGTAGCGCGGCATCTGAGACATCAGCCGCAACAAACTATAAGATATTACGCACGAACAGCAGACGAACAGCAACAGTGCAATCTTCGACATGTCGCCACAGCCGAATCCTACCTGACCTGGTACTGTATCGGGAACTCTCCAGGCACAGCACCCCTGAATCGACCAGCCTCCCCTCAATTTCAATGACATCCAAGTGCTGCTCCCTCCATGCCATGGTGTGCCTAACGTAATGTACTCAGAGCGAGCCGCCCGGGATCCGAAGGCAGCGTTCACCAGCGCCGCCCAGTCTCGGAAAGGCGAAACGCTACCCTCTAAAGGCCATTTGAGTTTGTAAAGCCTGGACAAGTGTGGCAGGGCCGCTGGTTAGTGTCTTGTCTTCTGTCGTGTGTCGAGAAAGCTTGGCATGGGTTGAAAACCCAGATGCCCTAACCTGTGGAAAAAGTGCAGCTTGTCATATTTGACAAATGCTGCAAGAACAGATGCATTAATATATTGCAGTTGTGTGGATGGGCCACGAGTAAGCTTAATATTGCGGGAAATAGGCCAGGCTGGTTCTGATGCTGAAGCTAGATGGAAACTGCCCTGATCATGTTAGCAAGCTGTATACGGTGAAAGCGGAGCCTGAACCCGAAAAAACTACAACGCGGAAGGCGTTCCCAAAATGTCAAAACCATTCAAGACCAAATGAACACCTCTGAACTCCAACCCTTGCCGAACGGAAACATTGAGATGAACACGGCAAATCTGGACCAAATATTGGCCAGCTGAGCTTGAAACCCAGCGTTACCACCCGGGCCGTGCGAGATCCACACGGAGGCAAACACTGCCTCGTGGCCTCCGCACGGGCAAATACAGCAAGAGTCAGAACAGCAGTTAAGAACAGAACCTTCTTCTCGTATCTATTGTATCTGGTATGTATAGGGCACCTGTCGGGACCTCCAAAGGTGTTATGAACCCACTTCTGGCGCGACATGGCATTGACAGAGTGAATCTAAATCTCTGAATCCTCACCCCAAACGAAGAGCGGTGGCGAGCAATCGCTAAAAGCTTTCAAGGAGGCTCCCTTGTCAACTTCGCGGGTCCAGTTTAAACACACACGGTCTCGTCCATCATGTCGAAACAATTTCGTGTCGCAGCGGATGGTCCAGAAAAGGAGACTCTTCATGAACACAAGAAAGTTGGAAGGCACTATATCCACTACCACACACCAAGCAGATCCAGGCAGGTGCGGCGGAGCCGGGGCCCCTTGGGCCCTTCTGGAAGCTCAGGCACAGCCTGGCCGGGCCTCGGCCTGCATCGCTTGGACCATGAGCTGGGCGGTGTACGCCGAACATCCGACCTGCAGCTCTGCAGCTTCTAAGGGGACGGGTTGGGTTCAGCTGCTGAACCCTCCGAAGCCCCTGCCCGTCGCTGCCAAGGTGCGAAGAAGACAACCAGCGGCGCCGCGATCATCCCCGCCTCAAGGGTCAGAGCTTGAGGAGGGCCAATCCCTCAAACGTGCAGCGAAGGTCTAGCCAGTCATATTAAGGAGTCAAGCCCGGAGTCCAACCGCAGCCCTAGAATTACTCGCCACAATCGCGCAGACTTCTCTCTGAACGACGACCGCTCGGGGCGAAGGCCAGCGAGAAGGCGTAGGGCATGGCCAGCAGACCTCGATGCAAGAGAGGACTCAAGGACTCGCAGCTCCCAGGTTCAGACCAGACTCGTGTTTTTGCTTATGGAGAAGGGTACGATGACTGATGCCCTGCACGGGCGAACCGCGCTGCGACGTCAACCTAGCAGCGTGCGATCAGCCGGCCTGTTCCGACCAAACAGGAGAACAGGGCGACCTCGGCACACCGAGCGGACCAGTTGCGGTGCCAAACCGAAGATGCTGAATTTCGTGGATGAACCTCTGACTCTGGCCTCTGTCTTACAGAGGCCGTCGGTTCGCTCAGTGGACCCGAGGCCCTCGCCGTGCCATCCCAAACGCTCAGGTCCTCTGACACTTGGAGGGCAAGCTTGAATCCGAACCCCCCATTCGACATCGTATGCATGAAGGACTAGACTGGAGGGTGCCGGGCGTGGACTGCATGCCCAAGCCTCGCGGCTAGCATGAACTGGCTCGTCTTTCCTTGGCTGCGCAAATTGCGTGACGCCTGTCTCTCTGGTGAGCCTGCGCTGTGGGCTTAGGATCTGGAAGCTTTGCAATGGACGGTCCATGGTCAACTGGTGGACACCTCAAACTCGAAGCTGCAAAATGCAGCAAAACCCATGGGGTGCATTGCTCAATAAGTTGTTCGGCATGCAAGCTCACGTACTTGGTGGTGATGCCGTTGTATCAACACCAGAAACTGGCTCGAAACACCACTGTTCGGTGCACATGCTGTGCTGGCTGTAAGAGATCGGCTTGACTTGCAAGGACCTTACTCACATCTCCGCGCCTTGGAAGCTCCCTTTCCCCCTCCCTGCGCAAAGTAGCGTGTGGACTTCTGCAGCTTGGCGGAGCAGCGACAGGCTGCCTCGCATGTGAGCTCGGAAGAGAGCCGCAGGCGAACTGAACGCTCCACCGCAGGCACGACAGCCGCAAGCCTCCTACATGTCATACCTCTCACTGTCTCGCGACAGCACGTACTCAGAAACAAGTGATTAGCCGGCGCCCGTCTCGTATTCTGGCGCAGCAACCCTGCTAGAACTGGCACTTGTTGGGGAACGACTTGCCTGCGGTGCTGGATCCCGTCAGGCGCCAGCGCCTCAGAGCAAGTTATGCTCCGTCAATCTTTCATCGACTGTGCTTTCATTGCTTTCAGGGCAGGGAACGTCAAGTCCAAGATCTGAGGCAGCTTGTCGTCAGTCTTAACAAGTGATCTACCTTGAAGTTCGGCTGATGGACGCACTGCTCCGAGGGCTACTTCTCTTCCACAGCACTGAAGTATCCGTGTGAAGCTTGTAAAACTGACGATCTAACAGAGTCGTCCTCAGGCAGCGACGTCTCAAGCTCTAGCAGCCGACCTGCGAAGTGAGCACAAGCACCGCAACGGATGTGAAGAAGGTCTTCGAAGTTCGAAGCACAACCATAGGCGACATGTGGGGCATATTGAGATCTTCGAACCGACCGTGAAGGCTTCACTGTTGCTGAATCTCCTGTTCAGCAGCGTGATGTTGGTGAACAGCTGCATCGGTAAAGACAAAGCTGTTTAGGGCCCCAGCTGATGTTGCCCGGCTGGCTCCTGCACAGAGTGCGAACACTTCAAAATTTGAGCTTGGGCCCGGGGCCAGACCCCAGCTTCTCAAAGCCTGGGTGGCGTCACACTTGTTGAGAATCTCTTTGCCAACACCAAGGCCAATGCCGCGACTTTGACACATGCTGAGGAAGTCTTCGAGTAGGATGCTGGCCACTTCGGATCGAGACAGCGCATGTGCCGCCGAAAATTATCGAAAAGAGACAAGTAGTAGGTCGCACACCCGTGTTTTGCCCTCTGGGACTGTGGACCGAGGATGCACTTAAACTCCAGTTATTATGACATGCCAGCACTTAGACTCAGACTCTCACGTCCTGAATTTAGGAGGCATTGCGGCACAAGCACTGCGGCACAGGCATCTGCAGACAGCAGTCCTCTACAGGATCACAGAGTGGGCGTTACCATACGATTGGCTGTGGATTCTCCGGTACATCGGATGCGGTCGGACGGACGTTGTCATGGTTGGGGCATGGATGATTCGATCATCGGACTGTCGGAGTGGATGCCAATTATCACTATCACGGTTATGCCACGGATACTCCGGTCGTCGGATGCGGTCGGAATGGACGTCATGGTCGGACCATGGATGCTCCGGTCGTCGGATGGCGAAAACTTGCAAAACGTCGTATGCATAGGTCAATCCGTGTGCGAGCCACCAAAGGAAGTACTTGCAGTACGGTGCAACTCAACACATGAAGCATAAGCAACAGTCGCCTATTGAATTGTCTTCTGCGCTAGATGTTTACTGGGCATTGAGTCGAAGGTCCGAGCAACAGGACACAAATCCTCTTACTTTTTTGTCGTCGTTGGTGCTGATACAGAGTTCAAGGAGGGGTTTGCTGTCGGCAGACATCTCAGACTGGGCATGAATGCCTGCTGAAGCCTCACCCAACCAAACGTGATTCTGCGCAGACATATACTTCCAAGCCAGAAACTTGTTACGACTAGGTCTACAGTCTGCCAGCGCCTTTTGTTCGCCGTGATGATGCTTGTGAGCATGATGGCGACAAGCCTTGCACAAGTTCTGCCATGAGCTTATGATCCTTGCATGCATTGAGAGTAGGTGTCGAGCTGGTTCTGCCGAGCAGCCCGAGTATACAAAGGAGCGTCCACTCGTTCCAAACCTGCTCCAAGGAGTCGAAAGACCTTTGGCTAGGATGCTTTGCTTCCTCGGCTCAAGCTTTATCCCAGCAATGCCGCAGTAGACTGACTGGCTTAAGGAGCCAAGCAGTGCGCAGCTGCATGCAAGGCTATGTGTGCGGCTGGACAGAGAGCGGCGGGGCCTGGCCGGTAGCCACCGACAGCTGGGAAGTTTGCATCAACGAGAATTACCAGTTAACCGCTGTTGTCTGATTCAGTCTCTACAACGGCTGCTGTACCAAATGGGCTCTTGCCCTGTCGAAAAAGGCTCCTGAGTGACTCCAACCGCTGTGCAAGAAGATATCGGGTCGAGGGCCATAAATCCATCTAGTCAAAGATCTTGGCTTATGCGGCCCGCAACCGGGAATGTCTGTATTTCCACGAGTCAAGATAATGCTGCATCCTGGAAATCATCCTTCCAGATTCGTTATAAGCTACAGCTTGGTGCCAGGAGCCAAGTCCTCCCTAAGCTGACGGAAAATACCTGCGTAGTCATCATTGGCATGAAGATAATGCTGTGGGGCTCTGGTAGAGCACCTTGGTCGATGCTTGCCGACCCGCTACATGCCGCGCTGGAAAAGCCTGCCAAACGACAAGTTTTAGCAGATTTTAGCAGAATGCTTCAAGGCAGTGTATCTGGTATATGGGACATGGAATGACATGGACATGGTCCATTGGCATCAATGTGTGGGCAGCATGGTAACACGGTCTGCTGACTCAGGATTCCACACGGATGCACACAGTCTCGATCCGCACACAACAGGCCGGTCGGCCTGGGCCGGCCCAGCTTCCTTGGCCAGCACGTCTTTCGGCCTTATGGCTGTGAGCTTCTCTGGCCAGAGCCAGCCAACCCAGCTTTGCAATTCAGCTGAATGTGGGCACATCTAAGCCCTGCCGACGAAGTATTCCCGAAACGACCGAGAGCATGACCTTAAATCAAAAACCATGTTACATGGGAGTCTCCAGCAAGCATTGCTCGCAGCAACCTGCAAGGGTTGAAGCTGAGGCCCGCATCCTTCTGACACCCTTTCAAGATCTCTGCAGCTTTGCATTCCGCTCCCAGACGAATGCTGACTTTACAGCAATTAAAAGGAATCTGCATCTTTCAGGCAAGATGTGTGGGTCAGTGTGGGTGCGCCTTTCGTGGCAGTGACTGCTGATATGATGATGTTAGGGTCGGGCATGGAGGCACTGACACACCCCTATGTTCTACGGATTGGTGGAAGCAGCTCCCGCTGCCAGACTAAAGAAAAACAGGCGGAGGCATGCCCGACTGCAGCACCCAAGGGCTGCGTCTGGGGCCTTGTCTCGGGCAGGAGCTTCCACATGCCTGCATCTTACTGATGCCTTGTTCGTCTGCTGGCGACCGCTGACACATTGGAAAACTGGTATGAGACCTTGCAGCACAAGCCGGGCTACTCGATTTTCTTGCTCTGCCTCAGTCTGGTGCGCATGCGCATGCAGCGCTTGGGGCAGCTTGAGGATTGAGGGTGCTCGTCTGTCGGTGTTACTCAAGTTTGCCGCGTGTCTTGCGTATCCAACCGTTTAGCTGTTCTGACTCGGAAGAGTTTGGCCGGAGATGCTGCAGTTCGGTGCGATGCAAATCTTGACCACCCCAGCTCTCTACATCCTCAGATGTCCAAAAAGTTGGGGTGTTCCTGCCCCCCGAGGCGCAAAGCCTGAACAACAAGAAACGGAGCACAATTCATCCCTCTTGCATGTTAAAACTTTAATGCAACCTCATGCGTACTACTGTCCGAAACAGCCTTGCCGAAGTGCCTGGAACTCCTGCTGAACTTGCAAAGATGCCAATTCCTGACGAGCCTTTCCCAGACCCGGGATGCCCGGAAACCGGATGCCCTTGAACAACTTCCAGTGCATCCTTGCAACCCGTCGATCTTGGCTTGTGACCCGCGATGGATTACACCATAGCCTACAAGCTTCAGGCTGTGATGTCTCTACGCTCGAGAACTGTATGTGTGTGTGTGGCAGAAGTCTTCACCGTCACGGAACTCGCCCGCACGGGCACACGGTTATTTGCGTATGCATGTATGTCTCTATGTACGTATGTAACTACGTATGTATGTACATGTGTATGTGTGTGTACATGTGTATATGCAAACAGGTAAGTAGGTCAGCAGGCAAGCAGGCAAGCAAGCAAGCAAGTGAGTGCATGAGCAAGAACAGAAGTAAATAAGAGTAAGCAAGCGAGCAAGCGAGCCAGCGAGCGAGCAAAAGAGGAGATATGTAAATATGTGTACGTAAGCAAACAAGGAAGGAAGGAGGCAAGTACGTAAGGAAATTTTAACAATTTTTGTAGTCAGGTTACCAGTACTATTTTTGTTAGCATGTCCATCACCATATAGATGTACACCGGCCAAGAACTGGCATCCACACATTTGCAGGACACCGGACCGCGCCACATCCTGACCGGCACTACCTTCCAAGGCTTCTTTCACACCTTGTCTCCCCCCAAGTGCGAGGCTAACTTCCATTCTAATCTTGCAGAGTTTCCTCGAGTGGCGACAGGACCATACCCTGAGCGTGGATGGCTTATGACATGAAGACTTAGTAGGTAGTCGGTAGTCGCATCTTTTCGTTCTTCAAAAGAGTCAACTATACTGCCGGCAACATCCGAAAAGGCAACCGGAAGTCTCGAGCGCGAATCACCCCCGTATAGAAACGGTTGCAATGGGCCGTCGCCTTGGCAGCCGGCTTACCGTGGCTTGCCCACACAAGATCCGTTATCTATTGCCTGCTGTTCCTACCAGTTACGCTGGCAGCTCGAAGGTTCCGGCACCAATCAAATTGAATAAGCAACCTGAACTTCCTCGCACAAAAACTTCCACTTCCACACGCCCGGCTGGTGATAGAACTTCTCAGCGCTTCTCGCAGCCAGGTGGCTACTGGCAACTTGACGATCCAAGTACTTCGGCAGCCATTCTCCTTGTAAGGCGTGTTCACTTCGCTGTAGTGAAGTTGTGCTCCAAGGTCGTGGTTTGTATTCCTTTGCTACTGGGTTACCGTTCAACCCCTTTGCCCACGTGCTCATCGAACATCACATGCAGCACAAGCATGACCATCAAACCTGTGCCTGCGTACCTTCCTGCTTCTGTCTCTATGTAGAAGTGCGTCGATTGTGCCTGTGTATTGTGAACACACGAGAACATCTTCGGGCGAGGCGTACGTCATGTCTCTATGTCACCTGTACGCACCTTGGACGCGGTTGAGGTGGATCACCGATTTCAATCTGCTGTTTGGCCAAGCTGTTGCTGACACGATAGACTTCACTGACCCTGAAGCTTTGAAGAGTTGTACCATCTTATGGCCAAAAGGATCTGGATCTGTCTGCATGCAGCCAAAGCACGTTTGAACCAATCCTGTTCATGCAGAAAGCTCAAGCTAGCAAGTGGAAGTATCCCGATTTCAATCACGACATTTTACAACTTGGGCCCTGTGTGGCTACGTCAAAACTGAAGCTGATTCGGGCGGTGGTGCGGCACAAGACGGACATGGTCTCTGGGGATCGAAACCTGGAGATTTAGCGAAAAGCTTGGCTTGTCCTCCGCGCCATACATGATAATGGCAACCCAACCCCAACTCTCAAGTCAAGTAGAGTAAGTAGAGTCTGCCTTTGCCAGAACCAGGTCTTGTCTTCAGATGTTTGCTTCCGTGTGCGGAAGCCGAACTGTGACATGCTGCATGCCAGAAAACGAAGTCCCAGGAATCAGTCGTTTCAAGCGGTTCGGGCCCCGAAACCCGAACACCTTCGCTGGGATAGGCTCTTTAGATTTGGCAACCTTGTTTCTGGCCTATCGAGAGGCTTTGCCAAGCAAGGCATCGACCAGGCATAAACAGCCATTAAAGACCTCCGCAAAACTCTGCTTGCCGATGCAGGCAAATTCCAGGAACAACAGGACGAAAGTGGAGCGCGAAAAGACGCGGAGATCGACAGGGTCGGTCAAGTGGGACGGCCAAACTTTCCGGCGCTCGAAAGAAATTTGGTTTTCAGTCGAAAAAATAAAACCAATTGGACGAGGAAATTGGCGGCAATTTTCATCACTTCTCACGAAAGACAACCCGGGAGTTGTGCCATCCGCATCTTGAGCAGACGTGGGGCTCATCATGGGCTCATCTACTAGAAATCTGCAGCTTGAGACCTCATGTGCAAGCGGGCGGGGTTCGCACTGCTTGTGCCATGGCTGCGCGCGAATTCGCGAGATGCAAAGCATGAACAGTCAACAAGCAAGCCCGAGAAGTATGCTTACTAACAAACTTACTTACTTACTCACTGTTTTACTTACCTACTTCGCTACGTACCTGGCGACGTACCTATTCTTTCTTACATGCGTGTGCCCTTTCACCGTAGCTCACTAAAGCGTAAACGGAGCAGGAAATAAACCAGTCAGGGGCTATACACTGCATGCAAGGAGGACTGAGCACAAGCCTGTACAATTAATTGAATTGTCCAGCCACATATGCATAGTGTTGAAAATGCTATTTAGTGTTGCCTTCCGCATTGAAGAAATGTGACACTCTGAACCTGCAAGTTTCGGAGCCAGGTCGGGAGACCGCAGAGTCTGGGTTGCCACATAGCCATACTGTCACTCAGTTCAGCGGTGTCTCGATGGAATCATTCCAGCCCTCGCGGAAGGGGATGATGGGCTCATAGCCCAGATCCTGCCGCAACTTGAAGCATTGTCCACATAGCGGTAGAGCTGGCGCTTCGATTCGGACTAGCTGAGCTTCCGTGAAACGTCAGTTGGGCGAATGGTTACTCCCGGTACACCTTCCCTTTTGGCAGTTGAGCAAAGGGTGACTCGAGCCTCACTGGGCGATGCTGAACAAGGCAAACCCGGCATGGCCCAGTACCAAACACCTCTTAAAATCGAGCCTTAAGTTCAAGCATGAAGGCCAGGCCAGGGTTTCTTTCTGCCCTACAGCAGGGTCCGCCGCAAAGCACCGCCGAAGCCCGAAACTATCTCCCAAGTGCTCAAAGACTCGGCAGATTCCCCGGAGCCAGTGCTCCTTCTTGGCCAATTCCGGGCCTACAGCTGGTGGCGCATGAGGGGCTTGCGTTCCAACTGGAAATGTTCGGATTCGGATCTCAACTCGACAACGCCGGCTAAGTCTCTAGCTCTGAGGCATGTTCTTGCATGGCATGCTACAAGTACGATGCCTGAGATTGCTGCAGAAGGTCGGGAAGCAACGACGCTTGGCCTTGATCCCGATTCCTTGAAATACACGGAACCTCAAGAGCTCCAAACCGTAACGTTGAGAACAGCTGGGTGCCGCGCGAAACCATCGATGCATCACCAGCATCTTCACACTGAATGGACTCAGTTTCCTTTGCATTGGGGATTTGGGATCGGGTCTCGCCGAAGCCGTGTGAGATAAGTGCGGTCGAGCTGCAGTGTGGTTTTGGTGTGCATTCGAACCAGTAGGAATTAGTGCGTCGTCAAACGGTACAGGTTGTGCTGTAACCACTCCAAGGCCTCATGCCTTTGCCAGGGGCATCTACAGGGGTAGCCTGTTGGATCTGCTGCAACCATTGCACCAAGCAACGTGTCAGTTGACATAGCTAGAGCGGCTAGATGGCCTACTCCTGGGCCATGTCTTATCATTCTCCAGCTCGCGAAACTGCATAAGAAAGCCGACAAGCCCCCTGCTGCTGAAGTAGTCATTTCACAGCCATCAAGCCACACATGACGGACCCGCTGTGCCAACAATCCGGGCATGTTCGCGTAATGTCGGCTACAAGTTACCAGGATGTGCATCAATTCCGGCGGCTTCAGGCCAATCCTCATTTATTGCTCCATTTCTGTTTGGTCTGCGCTGCGACATCACGGCCACGCGTTTTGAGCCATGCAAGGTTCGCCTTTCGCCGCGTTGTTGCCTCTTTTCGTGCCGTGGCCGGCACCGACCTTTCCCATCAGAGCAATGCCACCAGATGCCACCCTGAACTGCAATGGCCAAATTAGTGTTGCATGGATTCAACCGTCCTGACTCATTGCAGCTGCACCCAAACCTGTCACGAGGTGGCATGCTTGTGCATCCAGCCACAAGCCACCAGCAGTGCACACTGCTGTCAAATGATGCTACCCCTGTACCACAAGCGGCAAGAACGCCTTCCTGCATCTTGCCCTATGCACCTTCCCAATTTGGCACGAATCAACGAAATCTCTTAGCACGGCAAGGCACAGCTTGCGGCCGAGGCAGAAGCCAACCACGTTGCAGATGTAGGCCAGGAAATACATCAGGAACTGAACAGCGCGAGCTGCTGAGGCGCAATTCAGGTTCAGGATAGTGCGCACGGTGCATCATTTAACATGTTCAACGTGCTGTCGTCAAACATGGCTCATGGACTGCACTCTGCTCATCCATGCAGCACTTCATTTCAGCCTGTTTGGCTTCCGGGAAAACAGTCGGCAAATCCTGAAACGAGAACACAAGCATGCAGCCCGCAACGGCCTGAGGCAGGTGAAATTTCCTTGTTGGATCGACTGCGCGTTCAGAGTTCTCGTACATGCAATGCCCTACTCGGTTACTAAGGCACTACTAGCCTTGCTAGGCTTCATGTGTTGCCAAACAAATCAAGCCGGATTGTACGAAGTTTGCTTCGAAAAATTAGAGCTGCTTCTCGAAGTGCGCTGTGCCGGCTCAAACCTACATGACTTCGCGACTGGGGGAGGATGCTCAACATGCTGTGGCGATAAGGACTGTGAGCCTTGACAATGAATCCTCCCAAGCTTGAAGAGACAACAGACTACCAGTCCTCTTGCGTCCTGGAATCAGAAATTTCCGCTTGCAGAGGGGCACTAGATTTGTGGCATCTTGCGGCCCAAGCTCTCTAGCACGGATGGCAGGCCCAGGCCGACAGCAAAGCCTGAGAACTGAGAAGTCACGACGGTTCCGACCGGTTTTGATGTTTCCGGAAGCTTCCAAGTTTCCAGAGAGCAGAATTCCAGTCAACGTCTCGAAGTTAGGATGACTGCTGAAACTTGGGCGATTCGTTGTCTAGGGCCTAGGCCCAACGAGCTGATAGTCTCTGAGGCCAACAGAAACTCCCCTGTTTCGCGTCTCCAAGGAAAACGGGATCACAAGAAAAAATCAGTGTGAAAGGAGCCAAGAAGCGATCCACCTCCTCCCAAAGGTAGGCGTAGCCCTCACTGTGTGGATGGGTGTCCTTGGGGCGGGACGGTACAGGAACGGATGCATGGACGTTGGCTCGGCCATCTTCGGCAGCTGAATTTTGGGGTTCACAAGACTGTTGCATGAGGTTATACTTTCGACTCGGTGCCCCAGGTAAGGTCTCGTGGCTCGAGATTCTAGTGTCTGGGGTTCTCACCATCGATGCACCGAGAGGACTGTTAGAAGCTTCACCTCACCCACATTGATCATTCCGCGCGGCTGCATCTGTGCAGATGTAGAAGCCACCCAAGGCCGGGCTGCCCTGGCAGTGAGGCATCATCCCATATCGTGCTGGGATGGCGCTACTTTTCACATAGACAAAGTGGCCGGAGTTCTTGCTGGCCTGCACTTCAAGGACTAGCCCCTCACCCAGCTTTGGAGTACCCCTGATTTACAATGCATGGCTTCACGGCCGGACACTGGAGTCACTGGAGCTGATGCAACTGTGGACGGAGAGGACGCACATCTCAATGTGATTTTGTTCGCCGATTGCAGAACTTTGCCTTCATATATATATATATATATATATATATATATGTATACTCAAACGCCCGGCGCCTGCCTAAGCCGCCAAAAACATGCTGTGTTCAACTGCCGCCATCAAAAACGGAAGGATATTGATGTCTCTGACATCTGCTCACCGTGTGTGGCATCCCATGACAACCTGCAGAAGAACCCTGACAAGGGCATCAGTAAAAGCAAAGTTCACGCGCCGCGCGAAGAAAACTGAATATCGCGAATGCGAGCCCAGGCCGCTTGGGAGGGCCAGGACTTTTCTCTTTGGATTTGCCACGCATGAGACTCGCCGGGGCCTCCTTCAGGGCGCGCTCCCCCAAGATTAACCCGTGGCAGTAGTTGTCCACGTAGGTGAAGCAGGCCCGGTTCCTGCCTGGGTGTGGAGCTGCAGAGACAACGGCAGTATGAGGCTGCGGCTACAGGCTTGAAAGGCAGGCCACGTGTGTGATATTTGGACACCTGACCCAATCTCAACGTCTCAGCACATGCGCGCATCAAAACGATGCTGCAAAAGCGAAACTAAGGCCGCAAGAGAGCAGGAGGAGGAGCAGGAGGAGGCAGTGCCCGGTTACGGGGCTGCATGTGGAATTGGATCTCCAGCTTGGCTTCCGACTCTTCTTGACCAATACAGGAACAGAACATTACTGCCTCATTGCACCCTACCATGTTTCCCACAAGAACTCCTGCGCCACGTTCGGCAAGTAATATGCAATCGTGCAGCCGTTGCCAAACACGCGGAGCTTGCCTCCGGGCGGCTTGGAACTGCTAGACTGACCGCATGCTCTAGGCTTTTCGCAAGCTTCCGACACGCTACCCTGCTCCTTATCACATGGAGACAGCGACAGATCGCAATTTTGTGCAACCTATTGTTGAAACCTCGGCGATCAAAATCTCTTCGGTTAGAATGTGCTCTGTCGCGCAACCTCCCCCGGCTTCACGATGCCTGTCGCAGCTGTCTCCATGATGTTGGGCGTCCAGAGCGTATCACGCGGCCCGTAGACCTTCGAGAAACCACGAGACATCAAAGTGCAGCTCAGGCATAGGCATAGTTGGGATTTGCGCTCTATACGCCCTATTGAAAACGCTTGAAGATCGACTTGGGGGACTCAAGCGTCGATGGGTATCGGGATGCTGGCCCGAAGAGTCAACTCACAGATGATGCAGGTTGCGGGCCGAATCGCATTTTCCGGGCTTGGGGCCACTTCTAAGCTCGATGTGGTTGGGGCTTTCTGCGGATGCAAAACAGAGAGGTTCAAAACTGCTCGAATGCTCTCAGCTGCCTGAAATCAGAACAGGGTGGAAAACAACTGTGTTCACAGCACTGCGCTGCCTGATGTGGTGCGATGGCCACCGTCAGCAGTTTCCTGTCTTTGGGCATGGTGCTGGGCTGTCACCATCTCTCCCCGTAACATCCTAGTATCTGTAAGCGAGCTATCGCCTGGTCCTTCATCCGCAAGCCTGAACCTGTCGAGTGGGGGGGGGTGATCCGATTCTATCGAAAAGATTCGAGATATCGGTAGCCTCGTTCAATTCAAGCCAAGCAACTCGCAGCAGGCCTGTGTAATCACCAGCTCCCCTGCGAAAGTGTTTGCGGTTTGGCAACCGACTGGATTCGGCGTTTCATCTCTTAGCAGTTGTTCTGAATAGCTAGATCGTGATCCCGTCTATAAACATCGTCTCTGTGCAAACACAACCCTGTGCAGGTGGGGCTGAATGGACGCCACGACGTGCCTTTGGCTTTCGTCTCTGCGTACTCCTGCAAGTACGACTTCCTCAGTCACATGATTTTCGGTCGGCCCCATGTACCTGAGACCCATGTCCGGTTTCGACTGTTCGAGCGATCGGCTAAGAGCTCCAAATTCAAGGTGTAGATTGCAGGCGAATGTATGCTAAAAGTAACACTCTGAACTCAACATCAGGCTTCGTGCACTACACATCGCTCAGGTCCATGCAGTACCATCGACAGCTTGCTGTTTACTCCATCTAGAATCCAACCGTGTTTGCGCCACTGCAGCTGGACAGCCTCGTGACAGCACCTTCTCTCCGACCCTGTCCATGACTTTTGAGCATTTACACTCTAATTAGCTAGGTGCAGCTTGGCATCTGCGGCAACTTTGGCAGCTCCAGTTCCGTGAGCCTTGGGTGCAAAATGCTTAGCGGCTTAGCGACTCGTGATCTCGGGGTTTCAATCATGGCTCCGCCAGAGGAGTCGTTGAGCGAGGATCTGAATCTGTCAGACCTGCGGCCGGCGACCTCCAGGGTCCCCATGTATCGGTACAGCATGACAGCAAGGGAGCTCAATGCAAATACGCGGCACTGTGTTCTGTCCTTATATAAACACGTCGGCCTGTGATGCTCTGGTTTTGTCTTCTTACATGCGATCAAAGTGTACTGACAAGGCTCAACTTGGCCCCATAAGGGTTTACGAAGTCCCGTCCCCGACACGACAACTCGAGCCGTGTAAACCCTCTTTATTCCAATCTCCAGACCAGCTGCCCATCAATGTCTGAGCCATCGAAGCGGGTTGACGGCGAGGAAGACCTGAAAGGGATACATTCTCACTTCGTGCAGTCATCTACGACCACCAACACTGCTCAAGGAAAGGTCAAGGAGCTCCGCTACGCGCACGTCGCATTGTTAGGCGACAGCAGGACTTGCGCGAGCTATGGAACTGTTTTGCCGCCCACACACATAGACACAAGCACACAAGCACGTTCCTCCATTTCCTCTCATGTCAGCCTCGGCGCAGCCATGAGCTACCACAAGCTACAGTTTCTGTCAGGGCACATGACGAGTTTGCCGACTCCGGCCGCAAGGCACGCCTGCCGAAAACTCAATGAACAGCTCGCTCAACTAAGAGCCACTGTGCCACAACATGCCAAGCCGGAAAGGGTCAGGAACAGAAGGCGATCAGTAACTCTCCGACAAACACATGTTGCAGTGTCTTCATCAGCCGGATCAAAAGCAAGACACTCTCGGCCTCAACCACATGGCGACAGCCGCCGACGTTGACGTCCTCATTCCACCACAAGCTGCAAGTCTAGTCGTTTATTCGTTTGAATGTTTGCATATGGGGCTGAACCTGGAGCAACACCAGAGAAAACTCGCTACCTAATGCTTCGGTAGACCTGAGTCTGTGTGCTCAACTTCAACACAGAACGTTGCTTTGGCAGGACGGGAACCGGTCGCATTTACAGCACAGCCGCACCGCGTCAGACGCAGAAGACGACTTCTCCGTGCGAATCTCAGCATGAATCCATGATCCCTGCTTCCGTCGAACATGATCAGATGGCTACTGTATCTGGCAATCTGCTATTGTGGAATGGGGACCCTAGGGCCTAGGGTGCCCAAACGGGTTTCGCTTCGGAGGAGGTCCTCGTAGAGCTCGCTCGGATGAAAGGGCCCGACAGCAGCACCGACCTTGACGAATCCCGGGCACCACAACTCCCTGCTTCAAACCCGAATATTTTTCAATAAACAAAGCCTCGCAACAGCTCAAGCTTGAGTCCTGGAAGCTTTTCGTCCCCTTTTCTTGAGCTCGCTGTTCTGAGCCGCGCGGCATGCCAGACACAGTCAGCTCCGGCCACGGCTCGGTCCTGCAAAGCAGAACTGAGGGTCAGGTTAAGAACCCCAACCCAAACAAGCAGGAAGCTCTGCACTTCCCAGCTCCACATCCACTTCTGCTCGCTTCCCCGGTTAAAGTGCAGTCCACATCTGCACGGCGGCGAAGGTCGCCCTGCATGTAGACCTCTGCAGGTGGTCTTGTAAAGACATGATGTCGAAATTAATCTGAACAGAGGCTTGCACTGAGCATGGCTTCTGTGATGATGCGATTGTAGAAATGAGGACATCTATTTACGCAGATTTGCTTGTCAGGAGCTATCCGCCCAGACTGTGTATTCAAGAGCGGTCCGGACATCCGGCGATAACTTCTTGCGAAGTGCCATATTGCCAACGGCACCATGCAGCACAAGTATGTCATGGAACTAAAGCCACAACTCATCCGAGATGAAACACGAGATACTGGATGTGCAGAATGTGCACCCCTCACCCCGCCACGACAAAACGCATTTGTGAAATGGGGCTGCCAGAGGAGGATCTCCGGGAAAAATCCCATACCAAGACCGGCACTGCATGATCACTATGCTGGGCAACGAACAGTCAAGGGTCGACCAGGGCTGTCCCGGCCACAAGTTCGGGACAAACCCTGACTTAGCGATGTCTGGTCCTGGGGCTACGGCAATGCGCGAGTCCTGCAACGTGCAGCGAAGCATGTCTATTCCTTCTAGGGCTGCGGTGCAGCTGCTTGGCCTTGAAAGGTTTAGGAAACGTGAATGTCAAGTCCGAAAGTCCTGCCAGGCACTGGGCGGCTGGGGCAGAATGTCGAAAGACACGACTCGCTGCGCCCCTCGCTCCACCAACATCTCTACCTCAACCACATGCAGGGAACTTTCTGTTTTGGCCCTTTTTGCTGCTTGACTTCATACGTTGAGCTGAAGGTTCTTGCCGGTGGAGCATCGCCGATTGCCATTTGTGGTACATGAATGAAGTTCACTTCAAGATAAGCTTCTAAGCCGAAATTATCAATGTTGAGGTCCATTGCCAGAGTGACAGGCTTTGCAAATGTATGAACCATGAACCCACCAGTATTTTGATCGGAAACTCTGACTATACAAAACTCAACATTGAACCCGAATCGCCAAATGCGCAGACAAAGGTCAGCACCAATTGTCAGGCTGAACATGTGAGACTGGTATGTGCGTAGCAGAATCTGAGACTGAAGACTCCATACCTCGAAAGGTGCAGAGCATGAAACCGAAAATCGCAGATCGGATGCTAAGCGCTGGCCGACGAAACCGCTGCCACCGGTCACAACACAATGGGCTGGGACCGGCCTCAACCAAAGCGATTCGGGGTCGTGCTTTGGCCGACGGCGTCAAGCATCCCATGCACGATGTTCTTGTTAGTGGCTATGTTGTGCCTGTGCTGACTGCACACTGTCTGCCTAACTCTGTCGAAAGCCCAGAAAAGGCGCGAAGAACCTCTGCTGCTCAGCCCTGATTGATGCGCTGCAAACCCCAAATCGAACCGAGTTCTGCCGAGATGCGGGTAGCTGCGCTCTGCAGCCCGGCGCTGCAGGGCCGTGAGAGCGGGTGCCGTCACGCGGGCCATGGCTTTCGAACGGTGGCACTCTGTGGGGATAGACAGCGGTCCGATCGCAGTTTGAGGTGCCTTGGCACGCTGTGAGATGTTGGCCTTCAGTTGCACTTTCATGAAAACTTCCATAATAGACTGGTCTGCCGTTGTATTCAGCAGACTCTGAGAACTTGAGTAGGTTGTGACCCTCGTCTGGGTCCAGGATGACGGTGTTCGGAGCGAAGCCAAGTCCATCTTGATCACTACGAAGCTAGAGCCCGAATGGCAGCAGTGTTCATCTGCCGGAGCATGACCAGTCAGGCAGTCAGGCCGTCGTATCAACAGGACGTCTCGACAGCACTTTGCCGATCGGTCGGGGGGTGCCGAATCCCAACTTGTTCCTGCACACACCAGTATCTCTTACTAAGCGTTAGCCCTAGCAAGACAGTATCTTCGAGCTGCACTCGCAAGCAGGTGTACGTACTTCAAACAAGGCTAAAGTTGGAGAGACCGCATATTCCTCCTGAACTCCTAAGACTGCATTCATCAAGAAAAACGCGAAAGAACGAGTCAGGAACAGCACTCAAACCTTTCAAGCAAGGCGCCTCGGAGAACTCTCAAGTGCCAGCTCGGACGAAAAAACATACAGCCGAAAGTCTGCTCCAACCTTCCAGAAACCCCGAAGAAGAGCAGATCTGCCGGAGGAGTTAGCAACATTGAAGCCTTGAGGGCCGTGCGCAAGGGCCGCGATGGCAAAAGCAAGGTGCCTTGAATTTGAGTTGACTCCGGCGTCTTCGCGGCATTTGGACGCCGTGTAAATACGAGTTGTGGGCTGTGGGCTGCATCTGGAAAGCGAAGTACAACTGTACTTGCAGCGTGTGCGTACTGGGCCTTCGCCACTGCCAGCATGTGCAAGGACTCTGTGCTGGGCTTCGCAAGATGGGCCGAATGCACCCAGATTCAAGTTGCCAGTGACCGGAAGTAGCTTCGCGTGATGACTTCGGCTAGAGATGCTCCAGGCTTTGGAGATCGATATCTTTCATATCGTGAAGTTGCGTGCCACATGGGCCTCTGCGTGCCTGCGGAGTGCAACAGCTGTACTTACAGATGAAAGTAAAACGCGCTGCTCAGAAGCATATAACTTTCGAAACTCGATTCTACTTATGTGTTCGCGAGTTTGAATCTGAGCAGTGGACTGCGTACACCCAATGGCTCAAGCAACCGCAGCTGCGAACACTCTGCACAAACTTGCCGGAATGGTTTGAGATAAGCATCCACAGCCCCAACTATTTGTGTCCTACAGCACCAAGACCAAGATGCTGCCAATCTGACATGGTCGCCTGCGCATCGGAGCATCATGCGGTCAAGCTCGAGTCGACCCGGGTAAAACGAAGAGTAGGAAGACCGAAGACTGCTGGAGTTGTAGAGCGGCGCTTGGAGGAAACTCCCACGCTTGGTAATGGAACTGGCAACAAGCTCTTATCGAGTCGATGCAACGCTGGGAAGGGAAGAGGCCCCGAGAGGTGGCCTCTGCAGCCACCGCCTCACCAAGAAGGGCCCTGGAGCAGGTGAGCAGCTGAATCTGCCGTTACCTCTATCTTGCCATGCGGACGTCTGCGGCTGTTTGGAGTTGGACATGCACGCAAATGTGCAACACTTGCAAACGCAATCGTGAGCTAACCGGCTGACCTGATAGACGCAACCGAACAGTAGAACAAACAAGACCAATGCCGATGTGATTTCAACACGAAATCGCAAGAGAATACAAACAGAATGAAGGAACAACAAGGTGAACCAGTCAAGCACGCACAAGCACCGACAGCAAGAGACTTGCTGCGCATTAAGCACGGTACAAAAGCAGCAGCACCATAAGCAAAAACTGCACAGAAGTAAACGCGACAAACGTAGAAGGCGAGCAGGCATCCCGAAACAAGGTTTTGGCGGTATTACATTTGGAACCATCTCCGGTCGTCAGTCAGGATAATGAAATTCTGAGAGAGCAGGAAACCAAATCAACAAACAGCCACGGCAAAGCCACTCTAAACTAGCAGCACTGAGCCCTACATTCGCGGCCAATGCCACGGAAAAAATCCAGAAAGCTCATATCTTGCTGAGAATGATTGCACCGAAGTGTAGCAAAAACAGTCAACACGTGCATCCGCCTGAGGCCACGTGCTGAGGAGGAATTGACTCCAAACCGCCGTGTGACAAGCTCCTGTCTTGCTGCAGATTAGGAAATTGCCCAAGATCTAGCTCTGCCAGGCTGCTGGATTGCTGGCAATACAAGCAACTATTGATCTTGCAAGAAAGGCTAATTGTTCGTTAGGAGCTCCGAACAACAACCGAGGGTCGGAAGTGCGAGGAGACCACACACCTGAGGGAGACCTCACGCAAAAGACACGAATCCAGGCTTGTCTTACCGGGCTCTCGCCAGCTTCAAACCGCAGACCTCATCCTTCCCTCCCAAGCCTATCACTGCCTGCTATGCCCGCCGCAAGTAGCCGAGCACCCCGAGAGCCAGAAACGCAACCATACGGAACCCACTGCTCAGGAGCCAGGCCGCTGCCATGACGTCGCAAAACGAAAGAAAAACAGGGACACCGTAACGAACGAACAAGCTCGACCTGCGTCGATAGATACAAGTGCTCTTAGTGAGGTCTGTGGTTACATCGCAGTGCCTCTGAAGTTCACACGAATCGGAGTAGACAGTCTTCCGAACGAATGCCTGCGACGACCCGCTCGCACCTCCGTGACCAGCTCCCAGGGCGAGTGTAGTGCAGGTAGACGCTCTGCAGCCTCGAGCTTTGACTTTACTCTCCGGGCAATGCCAAACGCAACATTCACTTCGTACCGGCCGAGCGCCAGCAAGCGACGCAAGTGTTTTGAGTCTATCTCTTGAACTCTGCTGATCCAGAGGTGCCTTTCACACAGAAGGTCATGTAACAGCGTGTCACAGAGATCCATGTTTCACGATTCCAGATGTGACCATATGTGACCCCAGGCATGCCCAAGAAACCTTGCCGGTCATCACCTTCTCCTTGGACAGCACCAGGCCGTCCTGCATGAAAACCTCAGGCAAACTTCAACTCTTGCTCGACAGTTCTGCCCTGCCCGATATGTTAGGCATTGACGGAGCTCGGTCTGGTGTCAAGCTTATCGATCCTCACTAAATTCTCACCGCAATGTGGCCAGGTCACGCACACCACCATCAGCAGGGACTGCGACTAATGATACACGGCATCATAAGTGGGTGAACAACTTCGCCCATGTCCTGGGTGTCCTGCTGTTCTCTCACTATCCAAAATCCGCTCGTCCTTGCGAAGCCACCACCGGTCGCGAGGTCAAAGTTCCGAAGTTTCAAGCAACACCGAAGCTCATGGTACACCCTCGCCCAACCGAGCCAAGAGTCTACGTTCTGTGCTCAAATGCTACGCGCTACCTGCTTTCATTCACACTGCTGCGAAACCGGGGATTTTAGGCTTCAGTTGTCCACAGACTATGAGGTGAGTGTCGTTTGCCTCTTCTCAGGTCTCGCAGGCGTTTGGAAACAAAAGAACCCTTCGGCCATCAAGATTTCGCAAGTGAGCAAAGTCAGCCTATGGTAATTGAGCAGATTGGCATAAACATAGTTCGAATATGTGTGTATGTGCATATTGTATATTATATGCTTGAGTGATGTATGGGCAGGCTCCCTTGCACGAACCGTTCCTGCCTGCTGTGCACAATTTGTAATCCGCGCTATTCTGCAGGCCGTGTGTGCATTATCCCTGGGCCCGGGAACCATCTGAAGCCCGTACTCTCAACATCTCTCAACGGGACGGCCGCAAGTCAATCATGGACTCGGCTCAAGCCGGAAACTGTTTACAGTAGCCTTGGATGCTCATGGATCAGCTTCTTTGCTCAGGGTGCTGAGGGCTGGTAGCATCTTCCCGTGCCTCTGCTATGGTCTCCAGCGCTGCTGCTATGGAACCTGGCCGGGGCACACACAAAGCTTCAGCAAGTTGAGGGCTCGAACGAGAGTTAGGGAGGGCTTGCGAAAACTATCTTCAGATCCTTGTCCGGTCCTGCCCACAGAGTCTCTGAAGACTGAAGAGTTCACGGTAGACACCCAGCAGATTTGCCGTGAAACCCGAAGCCAGTGCCTTGGAGTGCAGGGTCCAGCAGCTGGCTGCTGTTTACCTCTGCTGATTTCCATGTTCAACGTCTTCGACAGTTCTTAAACTCGTGGCGATTTCCTCAGGATACGGACTTCGGCTTTAGGCTCTGGGTTTTGGGCCACTAGCATAGTGCGAACTGCTCACTGACATCGGTCATGCCTGAAACCTCCTGCAGACTCCTCCATGGCCTGCCAGGCTCTTCCCGAAGCCTCAGTCCTTTGCCACTCTAGCCTTACCCAGAAAGCCCAAGCGCAACCAAACAGATCTCCGAGTGCCGTTCTGGGAAGGTATCCAGGGGCTCCAGCCTGGAACGTCTGTGGGTGTTTTGGTTCTTCAATCTGCCGACTTCCGCAACAGCAGACAGACTCTACGCACCTTGCGAGCCTGAAGCCACCTCGAAACTTAAAACAGCTGTGGTCGTCGAAGAGGTTGCCAGACAACTAAGGCTGACACTTTTCTGAAACCTTGTGGTTGACCTGCCACATTGCTGATGCCAGTCTTCGGGCTGCGCGGGGCACGAAAATGAGCGACACAGAACGCTATAGCTTGAGGCTCGAGGCGATCCTTTTTAAGTCTACCCAGTTGCTTCTTTTCCATCGAAAAAAGTCTCAATCCACGGCTCTGAAACTAAATTCAGTGTTCGGCTGCGTGAAGGACCGTTGGGCGCCACTCCCCGGGCCTGAAATGCTATAGCACAGATTGGAGCACATAGAGCGAACCTGACAGCAGGTGGCAAACCTTTCACTTAGTGCCGCCGCAGTGTGGCAATGCATGCTTACATCGGAGCATGCAAAGTCTCCTGAAGGTTTCCCTGACGTCCGATCTGTCAACGAAGTGACCAGTGCGCAGTATACACCATGCCAACATGCAAGACCTGAA